AAGGCCAACTGGCTTTTTCAGTGCATCAAATGGTAACAATTATGTTGTACATTGTTCTTTTTAAAAATCCAGGTAAAAGAAAATAAATGCATTAATGCTTCAGGTTTCAAATGTAAAGTGAGCTGACATTTCCCAACACAGGCATGAGAAGAGGCAGCAGGATCTATGGGACCAGTAAGACCTGAAGTGGCCTAAACTAGTTAATGGTTGTAAATATTCAGTCTGACCCATAATAGCTTGTTTAGCCTGTGGTTTATCCTGAGCTACTGCCTGTCTTTTCCTTCATCAGCTATGAAATAATATGCAGCTGCACATATTAATCCTTGGCATTAACTGGTTTCACAGCACAAAGTACTAAATGATGTTCTGCTTAATGCCAGTTGCTGTTAAATTACCAATAAGTACTAATATTTATCTAATTATTTCAAGATTCTTCCAGCAGTCGTTGATGCTGACGGCTGTGAGCAGGAAGGATCTCTGTAGCAGTCTGTGTTACTGCCTCTGACTGAAGACACTTTTTTTCTGATGAGGAGGATGTTCAGGGATTTTCAGACTTCTCCTTAATGAACATCACTGGTGTTTCATACTATTAATAATAACTAATTGAATATTTGCTTAATAGATTTGATTAAAGTAATGACTTTCTGTAATTTCAGGTGACAACTTGAAAGTTCGCCCTACTGGTCAACACGTGTTTTGTGACTTGGAGAAGGCGTTGGACCGGATCCCTGTGGGTTAGGGTAGGATCCCCACAGGGATCCCTGTGGGGGGTTCTCCGGGAGAGGGAACCCCCCACAGGGTTAGGGGATATTCTATTTAACTGGTTCCTCAGACCTGAACCTGCCAAGTTCTGCCTGGTTCTGTCCAGACCCCAACTCCCTCTCACCCCCTTCGTCCCCACAGGTGAGCTCACCTGTCGCAGCAGCAGGTCGCCCAGGCGGCGGACGGTGAAGTTGTTGGTGCTGCCCTCCTGCAGCCCATCCTTCCTGCGGCTCAGCAGCTGGGACAGGAAGTTGGCGTGCAGCTCCAGCAGCTGGTCCAGGCAGGGGAAGATGGTGTGGACCACACCCGCCTCCAGTAGAACCTCCTCCTGCATCCCTCGCCGGTAAACGCCCTCCATGATCCGCAGCGTCCGGACGTGGTGGAACTCCGTCTGGATCAGCTCTGAGACATGAGACGAGTGGAGACAGAGAGGTGGAGGCAACATGTAAAGTTTGTTGCGTTTATTTGGCTCTGGTCCTGCTCAGTCCGGTGTTTGTGTCTCGGCGGCTCCCCCTGGTGGCCGCGACCTGCGTCGTACCGTAGATGACGTCCTGCTGCTTGATGACGTCTTTGTGCTGCGTCTGCAGGAATTTGGAGTCCACCGCCATGCTCCAGCTGTCGGCCTGGACGCAGCTGCCCTCCGCCTGCAGCTCCTCCAGCAGGGGGCTCCACCACCACTCGCCTGTTACAACACAGCCTGTCGTTATCAGACGCTGCGCCCGCCGCTAGTGGCCCATCAGTAAGCTCAACATACCGTCGTCGGTCAGAGACTCCATGGAGAGAGTTCTGTTGCGGAAGTTCAGCGACTCGGTGGACTGAGACAGAATCCTGCGGAGACCGACTGACTCCTCTGAACCCCTGGGACACAGAGAGACAAGTCCATCTGAAGCTGTAGCTCAGGACTCTGAGCGCATCTCAGGCGATTGATTGGACCGGCAAGATCACACCTGCAGGTCCAATCAATCACCTGCTAGCTTTTAACAACAGTGTCAGGAACAGAACAGGAAGTGGAGGTGCTACTAGTTAGCAATTGGGTGTGCTTCCCAGCAGCCAATCAGACCTTGGTTTTTACTCACCCTGCGATGTTATTGGTGGAGACGCTCTTGGCGAGCGTGAGGCCAGACCGAACCCGCCTGGATCCCAGCAGAGACTGTCGCAGAGTGTCTGAGGGGTAGATAGCTGAACTGGGGCGCTCCTTCATCATCGGAGCTGAGGACGAGCACAGAGCAACAGGATGTAGGATGGGCAGAGGCAGACAGGTGGAGGCAGTCAGGTAGACTCACTTTTGGTCCGCAAAGCGACGTTCTGTAGAGCCGAATTGTTTCTGACTAATGTCAGCTTCTGTTGCTGTGGGACAAAAACAGATGCAGGTGTTCAGACAGTCAGGTGGTCAGACAGTCAGGTGTTCAGACAGTCAGGTGGTCAGACAGTCAGGTGGTCAGACAGTCAGGTGTTCAGACAGTCAGGTGTTCAGACAGTCAGGTGTTCAGACAGTCAGGTGTTCAGACAGTCAGGTGGTCAGACAGTCAGGTGGTCAGACAGTCAGGTGTTCAGACAGTCAGGTGGTCAGACAGTCAGGTGTTACCCTCTGCTTCATCTTGGCGCAGCTCGCCACGCTGTCCCTGCAGCGATTGTGGATGGTGACGTTGCATCCTGGGAAAGAAAGGAGTCTGCTCAGTACCTGCTCTCTGATTGGCTTCACAAGAACCACAGTAGTGATGTCAGACTGATCAGGTGCACCTGTGCATCACTATAGCCAGGTGAGACATTACTGTCACATAGACCTGGTCCATTTCCCTACTTGGAGTTCTGAGACATGGACCCAAACAGAGCTCGGCTCGCTGTAGCCTGACTTCTCCGTCCGTCTCGGTCTGTGAGTGAAACAAATGGGAAGAGCGAAGGAGCGCCACGAAGCTGTTCTCCCTGGACTCCAGCTTGGTTTTTAACACCATCAATCCAAGCAAACTGGGAGGAAACTGGGGACTGGTAGACGGCTTCCAGAGGGACAGGAAGAGGACATGAGCACCGGCTCCAGCTGTCCCCAACTCCACACCATGGCTGTGGCCCCACCCACCCAAATGACACCATCATGGGGATCGGGCGCCTCTCTCTGGAAACCGACTACAGAGTGGAGAACAGAGAACAACCAAGTTGAAGGAGTTGATCGTCGACTTTAGGGCGTGCAAACCACACATTCACCCCATCATTAGAGACGGGGACACATTCAGATTAGAGAATGTGTCAGATTTCAGGTTCCTGGGCAGCTAGGACCTCACTGACGAGAGGGCAGAGCAGACACCGCACTTCCTGATGATTCTCAGGAAGAACCAGGGGAGAGATGAGTTCTGTGGAGTTGGTGTTGAGCCATGGCGACTCGTCGTGGTTCTCCAGCAGGGTGGTGTTGATAGCTCCAGCGGCTATCAACACCACCCACAGACTGACTGGGTCCCCTCTTCCACCTCGGGAGATCAACTGGATCTGCTGCCTCCGGAGAGCCCGCAGCATCACCAAGGACCCGTCACACCGCGAGCACCACCTCTTCCTGCCCCCAGGAGGCGCTTCAAGAACAAACTCTTGTTGTCTTTATTTATTTATCTATTTATTCTTAACATCAGAGTCGTTCTGTGTTTCCTTTAAATGTCGTGCATTAAATTCTGATTCTGAATGTGAAGTCGGTCCTCTCTATGAACACACAGCCCCTTCTATTTTCATAAGGCATGGACTCAACTCACACCTCAGTCCTAATCCTGACCTCTGACCCTAGAACAGTAGTTCTCCTTATGGGTCCCAGGCTTTGGGGCCCATTAAGAGCAGTTTCTGTTCTCACAACAGAAAAATGGGCCTTAAAATGTGAGAAACCAAAACACATTTCAGCAGAAGTATAACAGCTGTGTGTGTATTTCTGTGCAGTAATGACATCATCAGTGGAGAAACTGATGATGTCATTACTGAACAAGAAAATGGCTAAGTGTATACTTGCCTATCGTGCATAGAGAGGACCAACGTCACCAACTCCACCCACAAATGGAGCTTCTTGTGGACCTTGAGGGGCCGGTTAGATTACTGAGGTTCAGCTGAGTTTACCTGGGCAGCTGAGTTTACCTGGGCAGCTGAGCGCCTCCTTGGCCGTGATGCTCTTGTTGCAGGAGGAGCAGAGCGTAGTGGCCGATACGCTGAGAGAGGTGAACAGGTGGCCGCTGCTGGAGCGCGCCTCCCGCTCTCTCGTCTCCTTCAGCCGCTCCTTCTCTTTGATCTGGACAGGAAACCATTGAAATCAGTTCAACCAGTAGAACTAGTGAAACAAGTGATAGCAATAAAACCATTGAAACCCCTAAAACCATTGAAACCCCTAAAACCAGTGAAACCAGTTGAACCAGTGGAACAGCTGAATTACAGGTGAGGGAAGAAAGCAGAGGGTGGAGCTAATACCTGGAGACGAGGGGGGGGGAGGCTGGAAACACCTGAGCTCTCACTGTTCGCTGTTTTGTTCTGAGGGTAACAGGCTCAGAGCGGTACTAGACTGGATCAGAACCGGGTCAGAGCGCTGTGTCACTGTGTCGCTGTGGGAACTTCTGCTTTCCTCTGTCCTGTTTCTCTCAACAGGAAGAGGAACAGGAAGTCCATCTGCATTCATCAGAACCGGCTGCAGGGTTACATCAGAGACGTGTAAAGGCGCCGGGTCCAGACAGCAGCTCAGGTCCCGGTTCTGGTTGTACCTTTGATTCAGGTGGGCGGTTCTTAATCTGGCGCCGCCCACCTGCATGTTCATTAATCGTCTCTAATGCTCAGCTGGATTCCTATTCCCAGGATGCATTTCACCCCAGATGGCTGGAAGAAAACGGTTCTGACTTTGTTAAATTGGTTCTGGCCGAGTCAGACTGGGTCAAGCTGGGTCCATATGGATCATAGTGGGTCTGTCGGAACCGGCTCAGGGCAGAAGCGGCGCTCAGTGACAGTCAGTGATCAGCTGATGGATAAATAAAGGGTTCAGTGATGAAGAGGAAGAAAGGGAGCTCTGTTGGAGAGAGAGGGAGGGCGGGCGAGCGAGCGAGTTGGGTTAGAGCAGAGAGAGAGAGTCAGGTGGTTCCAGGTCATGTGACCACTGAAGTCTGCAAGGAGATAAGGTGATAGTCCAGGTATGACAGTAACAGCCAATCACGTCCCTAAAGCTCCCAGCCAGCAGAGGGAGCCAGCGAGACGCAGCAACTCTGGCTGAGATACTAGCACTGTTAGCATGTTGCTGAGGCACCCAGCAACGATCTTCTTCTCCCACCACAGACCTGATGTTTGACCTTTGACCCTGAAATATTTAACCAACTCCATTTAAGGTGAGATGGTTGTTCCAATGCCATGGATACCAGGTCTCACAGCGCCCCCACAGGCACGGAGGTGAACAGGTTGCTCAGAGGGTTTGGTTGTTTTGACTCAGAAAGAAAAATGTTGCAGTTGAGACGAGAGCAACTTCCTGCGATCCAGGTGAAGCAACCTGCTGCTATCCAGGTGAAGCAACCTGCTGCTATCCAGGTGAAGCAACCTGCTGCTATCCAGGTGAAGCAACCTGCAGGTTTCCTCAGCAGAGTCACTTCAGGTCAGTTCTGCTGCTTCATTAAATGGCTGAGATTATTGATCATAAATCGATCATAAACCCTTCGTACGGCCGTCTCATCACCAGGCTCCGATCGATATTTCAGCCGTGGAGAGAGTGGGAGGCAGAGCTGCTGCAGCCTCCAGGTAACCATGGCAACGGCCAGGATGCTTCGGTGAGGCGTAGGCGTGCGAACACCCTCTGCCTCATCTTCATCGGGATGAAGAACACTTAGGGTCCGCTCCAGCGACCAATCAGAACTCAGCGCCCGAGACTGACGGACCAACCAGAGCTCAGCTCAGGTTCCCAGTGTTCATGAAGCAGAGCTCCCAGTTAAACCAGCGACCCTCTCCCCACCACCATGACACCTCCGCCGTGTTTCACAGCTCAGCCGCACCGACAGGACCGGAAGAAGCCCAACGGTTCTGATCACAAACGTGGAAGTTCTAAAGAACCCTCAAAATCAGAACCAGGACCGGTTCTGGCTCTGGAACAGGTCGGGTTTTCCGTCAGACCCGGGTTGTTTGGGTTTGTGGGTCAGAGGTCAGACCTTCCCATCTCTTCCTGTATGAGACAGTGACACGCGCGCGCCCCGACGCACGCGGCGCGCGCATCTTCCCCTCCCCCTCCCGCTTCCTCCTGCAGGACAAAGCGGCCACGATGCCTCCTTTAAAAAGTCCAACTCACCGAACCGCTTCGGTACCGGCCCACACTTCTCGCACACGCTGTGACCCACGCAAGCGCGCATCCTGTTCACGCGCAGTAGAAGAAACGCGCGTGCTCGTTTGAGTTAGCGGAAAGAAAAAAAATCTGTTTCCCGTTTCTGATCTCCGAACTTTCCTGCTCCGTTTCCCTTTAAAGTGGATCCAGAACCGGGCCCTGACCCGAACCCCGGCCCGCTCACTGAGGCAGCCCGCCGAAGTAACGAAACCAGCGGTTCGGTCCGTGTTTTCCAGATGTGCGCGGTCAGATCGGACCGGGACCAGGAACCGGTCTGCTGGGTTCGGTCTTTCGGTTCCGCTCGACCCATTATAAAGTGTGTATAATTAAAGTGTGGGTGGTCGCGCGCGGCGGGGTTCGGCGGTTCCGGGGTTCGGCTCACCTTCAGGCTGCTCTCCTTCATCCGGTCCTTTTCCCTCCGGCTCTCCAGCAGCCGGGACATCGAGCCGCAGATCGGTTCCGATCGGTTCCGACGGTCCGGGTCAGTCTTTCTCACTCTGAGCAACAAAGTCCGGAGGTTCTGGTCCCGGTCCGGAGCGCTCCGCCGTCTGTGTAGGGGGCGGGGCTTGGCTCTGACAGACAGAGCGTCTCTGTACTTCTGACCAATCAGAGCGCAGCCCGCTGCCGCCGCGCTCGGCTAATCCCGTCGCTGCTCGTAGCTTCAGCCCCGCCCACCGACACATGGAGAAGAGCGCTCGTTTCTGGAGCTGGAGCAGCGCAGTCGACATTTTGGGTGGGGTTAGTCTCTATGACAACGTGTCACCAAGTCACATGACCCACATCAGCCAGCCACAGCGTCACCAGAAGTCACGTGACTGGTGATCAAACGCTCTCCGCACCGGATCGATTTGCTCCGCCCGCCGGCAGAGGCATTGACAACAGACAACCGAGTGACGTGGAAGTGCAGGACCCGACCCCGCCCGCCCCGCAGCGCAGCGGGCAGCGCCGGTGAGCGACTCGAACCTCCACCGGCTCCGCTCAGACACAAAGAAGACGGAGCCGCAGCGGAACCACGACAGAAACAATAACTGATCACCGCAGATCTGGATCGATGACGGCCACTGGCGCTGTCACCATGACAACCCTCCATCACACAAAACGCACAGCAAGCACGGTCGGAGGCGCCGCCTGCCGGCCGCAACGCGAACTGCGGTTCAGCTTTATGATTCACTTTTTATTTTGTATTTACAAAATTTAACATACAATTTAACATACATTCATTGTTGTCCCTATGACTCCAAAGGAAAATTAAATAAAACTTTAACAACCCACTTTGTGAAATTGTTACATTTCAGCACAGCGCCCCCTCCCGTCAGAAAGATCAGTTTTAACAGAAATATTTTCCATCACTTGACTGATTCATTCAGTGATGGTCGGCTTTCATAACTGGATGTCTTGGATAACAATATCCGGTTGGTAGATACTTTACAAAACTAGAGACAGATGATTTCCATAACGGCTGTTAATTTCGTCCCATATTTACTCATATCTGTATTACAATATTCTCTGATTCGCTGTTTCACCTCCACAGGTGAGACATTCTGACGGAACCAATCAGACGCTCTCAAATCTATGACATCATCTGGGCTTAAAGGGGCCGACCCTGTCGGCGTCTCCATGTTCCTGGTTTCAGTCAGAACTCCAGCAGCAGCGTTCTGGACCGTTGACGATGTGAACGGTTTCTGCTGCAGGAATCAAAGCTACAATAAAAATGAATGTGGTGAAAAAACTCAGACATATTGTGCAATTTACATTTCTGGACCCAAATATTAAGTTGCTTGACGCCACCCTGAGAATATTACCTTGTTTTAAGGCACACAAGTTGGATTTATGCAGAGAACTGAGACATCTGAGACAGTCTCAAATTGACAAAAACCTATTAAATTCTTTGAAAATACTCTTTTTTTAAAACCAGTTCTTTAGAACAAAAAACTAAGAAAAACAGAAGAAACTACAGTCACTGAGGGGACCGGCAGAAGGGGCCACTATAGGGACGGCATCCAGCAAACACAGCAAACAAAAAGCCTTTAATGCACCAGACATTAACCTAACCCTACCCTACGGCACACAGAACAGGAACCAGAACCACACCAGAACCGGACCTCAGCACTGCAAGCAGAAAAAAAAAAAAAAACAATAAATGCAACAACCATGAACCGAATACAACAAAAGAAAAACAATGTCAGCTCAAAAACAAATATAAAGAATCAAAAGGGCTGGAAACAAAATAACTAAAAAAAACATAGAAAATACAAGTTAAAATATCAAAACCAAGTGTGGCCCCTGGCCAACCAGCCCCCGATGCCCAAACACCGCTTGCTGGGGCCTGACCGACTCCACAGTCCGAACTAGACTGGAGAACCAGCAGAAACCCGGGGGACAAAGAGCAGCAGAGGTCCAAACATGGGGACACGTCTGAAACGTGTCCGGTTGGGTTCCGGTTGGGTTCCGGTTGGGTTCCAGTTGGGTCCAGAGGTGCTGGACCTCTGGACCCAACCGGTCCAGAGGTTGGGTCCAGAATAAGAAATGTACAACTATCCAGACAGATTTATTCCAGAAGTCAGGTGATGGGTGCAAACATTTAACCACATTTAAGTGTTTATGTTAGGGTATGCATGTATAATTTTGCCCCAAATTCATTCATACAAATATGTGAAAAAATTCAAATTTGCACACCAAAATTTTAAATTAGGATAATTGGGAATTGTTTTGAACATTCCACAAAAGACAGCTTTGGAACTGAAATTAGTTTCAGTTCCAAAGCTGCTGATCACAAAGACCTACAATCACTTGAGATGTTCGACAAAGATCATCTGCAGTGCAGGGAGAGGAAACCAGAGCAGCACCTCTGGACCCAACCGGAACCCAACCGGAAACTCACCAGAACCCAACCCTAACCCAACCGGAACCCAACCAGAACCCAACCGGAACCCAACCGGAACCTCACCAGAACCCAACCGGAACCCAACCGGAACCCAACTGGAACCCAACCAGAACCCAACCGGAACCCAACCGGAACCCAACTGGAACCCAACCGGAACCCAACCCTAACCCAACCGGAACCTCACCAGAACCCAACCCTAACCCAACCAGAACCCAACCCTAACCCAACCGGAACCCAACCGGAACCTCACCAGAACCCAACCGGAACCCAACCGGAACCCAACCAGAACCCAACCGGAACCCAACCGGAACCTCACCAGAACCCAACCCTAACCCAACCGGAACCCAACCAGAACCCAACCGGAACCCAACCGGAACCTCACCAGAACCCAACCCTAACCCAACCGGAACCCAACCAGAACCTCACCAGAACCCAACCGGAACCCAACCGGAACCCAACCAGAACCCAACCGGAACCCAACCGGAACCTCACCAGAACCCAACCCTAACCCAACCGGAACCCAACCAGAACCCAACCGGAACCCAACCGGAACCTCACCAGAACCCAACCGGAACCCAACCGGAACCCAACCGGAACCCAACCAGAACCCAACCGGAACCCAACCGGAACCCAACTGGAACCCAACCGGAACCCAACTGGAACCCAACCGGAACCTCACCAGAACCCAACCGGAACCCAACCCTAACCCAACCGGAACCCAACCGGAACCTCACCAGAACCCAACCGGAACCCAACCAGAACCTCACCAGAACCCAACCGGAACCCAACCAGAACCTCACCAGAACCCAACCGGAACCCAACCAGAACCCAACCCTAACCCAACCAGAACCCAACCCTAACCCAACCGGAACCCAACCGGAACCTCACCAAGCAGTTTCTATGTGTATTTGACAGCACTACGTACATAAAGGAAACACTGAAGTAAAGTCAGTCTGGTTCATTGAATTAAAATTCTTCATCTCATATTTCTCAGCACAACTTCTCCGGTTCCGGTCCGCTGATTCCGCCTCCTGGTTTTACTTTCGGTTCCGAAGTTGACTTATCCGTCGGCTGACTTTTAAATTTTGTGACACGTTCCCTTTAAGAGGACCTCTCCTTTAATTCACCTGTACTGACCTCACCTGGGCTGAACTTCCGCAAAGTATCGCAACAGAAGAAGAAGAAGAAGAAGACGCCGAGCCCAGAACCGGACCCGAACCGGACCAGAACCAAGGTCAGAGCCTTCAGTTTTTTTCTCCGTCAGCAGGTTCGGTATTCGTCCGTGACGTAAGCGGTTCCAGGTGGACCTGAGCCACAGTGACGTCAAACTGCAAACACGTTTCCTGTTTATGTGGACTCGGATGGTTCCGGAGGTCCAAAAGGTTCTGTTTGTTTTTGATGAAATATTCAGAGAAATAAAAACCCATTTGGATCCCACTGGTCCGGATCCAATGAAATGTGATCAGTCATTCTGGTACCGACTGGTTCTGGAGGTTCTAACCAGTTCATTCCGTCCATGGTTCGGTTCCTCAGATCAGAAACTGAGCTGCAAATTAAGAGCGTGAAGGTTCTGCTGGTTTTATCTCAAATAAACCCATTTATCCAAAAATCATCAGAGCTTTAAACCAACATTAGAGAATATAGAGGCAGTGACGTCAGTAACTCGTTACAAAGTAACTCGTTACAAAGTAAAGTAGTGATTACTCATTACTTTCTTCAGTAACAAGTAATCGCGTTGCTATTTAAATTCCAGTAATCTGATTACAGTTACTGATCCAAATCCTTTTGCGTGATTTGTTTTAGGGTTAAGGGTTAAGGGTTAGGGTTATTATTTCCTGTGTGGAGTCACCGCCGTTTCTCAGCAACAGCATCAGCAGCAACATGAGCAATGGAAGGAGATGCACATTTTGGACAAACAGGAACTATTTTCAGTTTCTGTTGCCAGTCCAGTAATTATGAGCAGCTAAGCCTGTTTTTTCTAAATGTAATGAGTCGCAGGTCGTTACTCATTTGGGTTTTGAAATAAGCCCCAGAATTTGAGTGACAACCATTCAGTTCTAGTCAGACTCTCCCTGTCCCATCGTCCCATCAGACGATGCGTCCCGCTGTCTTTCATATCGAGTCAATGTATTTGCTGTGAATGATGTCGAACTTCTCCAGAAAACTTTAAACACGGAGACTAATATGAACGGCGCAATAAACGTGAAAACAGCCACAAATGAACGAGTCAACTAAACGCCGTTATGATCTTTAATATTACAGTAAATGTCACAAATCTGTGCAGCCATCGGAGTTGTGAACCCGCAGGAGTATGGGGCAATTTTCCTACTATAATCCAAGAACACACATGTTCAGTCTGAAAGCAGGATTTTGTGTCTTTTCTTCTCAAAACTTTGAATACATTTGCTTACATTTGTATTTTGAAAGCAGGGCTTCATGTCTGCCTTCTCAAATCTTGTAATACTTGTGCTCAAAACGTCTCCAGCTGACAGTCTCTGTTCAGACTCTGATCGCTAAAGAAACATGGATCTGCCTTTTGACAGAGTCACCTAGCAACCTCTCAACCAATAGAGACGCAATTCAAAGTTTCCGCTCTGGACTTTTGATTTAAAAAATAATAATAAAATGTTCAAATTTTCCTGGCCCTGATGATGACCCGATCAGAACCAGGAGAACCAGATGCCTCTGCATCAGATTGTTACTGTGAGACATTCAGACATGGTCTCACCTGAACAATCCGTCCTCCAGGCGCCAGCTGGTGTCTGATGGACCACTGAGCATCCCACCAGGGTCCAACTGTCCTCTCTCTGTCCTCAGATATGGACGTGTCTCTGAGCGATGAGCCGCTCCTGAAAGCAACCCTGATAGTGAGCGGTGGTGGGACGGACGCAAAGCGAGACAAAGATGAACCTGCGACCACGTTGGAGCCCGGGACGCTGCAGTGGCCGGAGGACAGAGAGAAGGGGACGGGGGGAGGAACAGACGGGGTCATCGCGAAGTCAGACGCGTCCAGCTGGACGGAGAGCGAGCGGGGCCGCCGGATGGAGAGGGCGGAGCTTACGGGTGAGGGGCGGGGCCAGCTGGAGGAGAACCGGCTTCCAGAGAAAGCTGCTCAGGTGTTCAGCCCGGCTGTCACCGTCCTCCCCTCCCCCGCCGCCTCCAGAGACACAGAGGCATCCTGGGAAATGGAATCAGAGAGGAGTCCCTTCCTGAGCCCTCGCCAGGTGGACTACAACCAACATGGCTACCAGTTTGACTTCCCTGAGGACACGCCCCCTTCCACCTGTGAGTTTACCTGAGACCTCTGCTCCAGGTGGGCGGGGCGTAGCCCTCACTGGTCTGTCTCACCTGTGTGTCCAGATAAAGGGAGATGTTCAGGCAGAGATGCACTGAAGCTAGGCGTCTCCTTGATGACATCAGCGCTGCTCTTCCCGTTCCTGGTGTGGGGGGGGTACGTCTTCCTGCCGTTCGACGCCCCCCCGCTGGACGGCGCTCCCCTCAGGCTGGTCTACACTCTGCGCTGCTCTGTGTTCGCCGCCGCTCCCGTTGTCCTCGGTAAGACGTAGTGAAGAGATAACCTGGGACTTACCTGTCTGTCTCTCACCTGTCTCTCACCTGTCTTACCTGTCGCCCTCTCCGCCCCCAAGGTTGGCTAGTCCTGGGCGTCAGCCGGCTCCGCTCCGGATCCACTCAGCCGGTCGTTGATGACGTCGTCAAGGAGGCGGAGCTTCAGGAAGTCTCCGTCCACCGACGCTTCATCTCTGACTCCGCCTCCCTCTTCCTGATCTACTTCCTGGAGCTGGTTGTCATGGCAATGTACCTGACCCAGGAGCAGCTGAAGCTCGTCCCCCTGCTGTCCATCGTCTTTGCCTTCGGCCGGTGAGTATCGCCTTGGCAACTGGTTCAGGATGCTGCCTACCAACCAAAGGTCGATGGTTAACAGTGATTTTGGGCGGTTTGGCAGAAGGTCAAAGGTCAACATTTCTTTGCTCCTCCAGGTTGGCGTACTGGCTGGCGGCGGCGTTCGGCAGCAGCCTCCGCGGTTTCGGCTTCGGCCTTTCCTTCCTGCCCAGCCTCGTCATGATGGCGGCCAACTTCTACTTCTTGTTCACGGTGGAGTCGGCGGGGTCGGTGTTCGGCGCCGCGCCGCCGCCGGACGAGGCGCTGCCTCCGTCCACAGGCAGACAGAGGTTCTGGGGATGATTTTCTCTCAGTATGTTTATGAACTGGAGAAACTGGAAGCTCCGCCCACTTCTTTCAGGTTTTCAGTTCTTTTGTAGGAAGGACACAACTTTCTATTTTGTAAATATGGACTTTCATTGAATCAATTTTTATCAGCCAACTGTGCTCATAGTTTGGGTTTGTATAAAATTCATCAAAGGTTTCACAATAAAAGCATCAATTTACTTCCTGTTATAGCTCAGTTCAGTTTGGTACAGGAAGCCGTTATAATGACCAGCAGGGGGCGACAGTGGAGAGAAAAAAACCCTGCTAACAGCAGAAACGTCCAGCGGGTGCATCCGGAGAAGAAGACGGCTGGAGACGGACAATAGGAGAGTAGTAGAAGAAACCAGCAGGTTCCCAGTGAACTCCAGTAGGTCTATTGGTTTCTGTGCTGCAGTCCAGCTCAACCAGCGCAGAGACCGTTCTGCATCCGGGAGACCCAGCCTCTGGCACCGGCCGGGTCCAACAGCAGCTCAATTTGGTCCAGAAGATTTCCTCTGAATCTGGAGAGGCTTCAGTTTCTTAGTGATAATAAGAATGATTAAAATCTACTTGATAATGAACATGAATGACAGTAAAAGCTCTACATGGTGATACTGGGAGTTTTGATCGGACACCAAGTCAATGTAGGGCAGTATCGCCGATATCAATACCGATACTGTTTTTTATTTGAGCTTCGTTGATCCAAAAGACCTAGGATAGACCGAGGATAAACGTTGTACGTGACGACAAAATGCTTCAGCGCTGACAAACCACAACAAACACTGTAAACAGTTTCAAACTTATTCTTTTTTTTTCAGGTTGAACAATACAAGAATATAATAAAAAGAATAAAGAAATTATTTCCTTCAGTAGAACCAAAAGTGAAATTTAAATAAAGCATCAATAAAGAAGAATCCTCGTGACGGTGCAACAACAGGATGGAGGTTGGAGCAGCGCAGCTCTGACAGGCAGAGAGGAGACTTTGATGAAGCCGTGTGTGCATCAGTCCGTGGAGGCGGGAGTATTGTATCGATATCAGGATTGATCCGCCCACCTCTACATGGGCTGCATAATGTAGAAACTATGGTGGCCCGGAGGTGCAAACCACTTCAGCAAATTGAAAGCATAATTACAAAGGCGCTCCAACATGAACCAAAGAACGGAAAGGATGTATAAAATAAAAAAAAAAGCCTGAAATGAATTCAGGTGATGTTGCACTGATTTTCCTAACCCAATCTTGCATTTTATACATTGAGTTGGAGAGGGGGAAAAATCCAACACTAACAGAATTTGACCCATTTTTTGCCACACTTCTTCAGGCATTTGCTCCAAAAAAAGTAAAATTGAAGGCAAAGTTTCAAAGAAGATCCAGGACTTTCTGCAGACTTCTAACTTCCAACCCGTTCTAATGAACACTAAGTTCGCCAGAGTAACTTCTAGTCCGAAAGTAAAAACTTGCTGTAGTCCGATCAGTGATTTCTTACGTCTCCCACTGGGACATACCTCTTCCATTTCATTCACGTTGTAGCGCTTTTGTAATTTGTGCTTTCAATCTGCTGAAGTGGTTTGGACCTCCAGCCCACCGGAATAAACCAATCAAAAGTAAGAAATTTCCTGCTGCATAAAAGCAAAAAGGCTAAAGCTAAAAAGCTAAAAGCTGGTGTACAAGACTCTGCTGGTTTCCATCTTCCCTCCAATCATTGAGGAGGAGAGAACCTACATAGCAACGTTCTACCACCGGTACAGTTCGACAGAACCGGACAGAACCCGGTTCTGCCCAGCAGGTGAGACCTTCAGATTGTTTGTTCAATCAGTTGGATTTCAGCTGTTCTGGTTCTGGTCCAAGTGTTGGGTTTGGGCCCAAAGGGTCCTGTGCTGACGTTGTTTCAGTGACTGATTGGTTTTGAATATTCCTACTTGTTTCTGCCTGATCCAAGACAATCTGAGTGTTTATGGAGAACCCGACCCACTCAAAGAAAGCCGAGGACATAAACATCCTATCAGCTGTAGCCAGATGTGATGTGATGAGGTGGAGCTGAAAACTCATCACAGGAGCACTTTCTAAGTTCAGCAGCTTCATCGGCTGAAGGAGTCTACTCCAGAACCTCTCGGAAGCAGCAGTGGACCTGTAGTCTGGTACTGAAAGGTTCTGATAGGAACATCTGGACCAACCAGGTATTTCATGCATAATTGAGCTAACTAGGTGAGGAGGAGATTGTCCCAGTTATGATCCGTAGTGGCTTTTCAGTTGTAAAAATCTGAAGAGAAGATGGTAATGTGGAAAATCAGTCCGATTTAAACATTTTCAATGTTTTTTTGTTTTCCTTTTTTTTGTACCTGCAGTTCCACCCTCTAGCCGAAAGGTGGAGGTAATATTCCCCAACTGCATTTCCTGTTTACTAACGAAGAAGAAGCTAACATGACGGATTAGCCGAAACTGAGGAGCTCTGTTACGCAGTGAGTTCTGTTCGGCTGTCGACCCAGTTCGGGCTCAGTGGGTCCGGTTCGAGTCATATATTTTATTTGTTGTGCTGTCGCCAAACGAAACACGTCCAGCGCATGCTCAATGGGAAACCCGCTGCACGTTAGCTTAGCCATATTAGCTCCGGTGTTTCAGCTCCACTGAGGTTAGATGGCCGCAGTGAAGCCGGGATCAAAACAACCACAACGAGTATGTAGTTTTTCTCCCGAGGCTGATGTTGAAAAAGATCCACTGAAAACCTGGAGTTAAATCATCAAACGGTTCTCGGATGGAAACGGCGCGGTAAAATGTGTGCGGAGATAAACATCTTCCGTTCTCATTTACAACAGGACCAATCAACCCGGAACACCAGCTCCAGCTAAACTGGCACGAACTGAACCGAAACACCCTGAAAAGCATCTGTAGTCTGTGCTGAACGTCGTAATAAGTAAGTGAAAGAGCTGAGAGACAGTGACGCGGCTAAGCGGACAACAATTAGAAATTCAATACAAAACACAATAAAATGACTCGGTTAAACAGACAAAATCAATACCAACAAATGATTGGTGATGAAGTTAATATTTATAAAAAGCCAGAAAGCTCAGCTGGATCAGAAACATCCAGGTCAGGTTCTACAGTTTCATCCAGTGCTCACGATAAATTAATCACTGTGGGGGAATCTTCCTGCCATAATCCAAGAGCACATAAGTCTGAAAACAGGACTTCATGTCGTTCTTCTCCAAACTTGTCCATCGCGCTCAGACTCAGGCCCATTATCAGTGCTCAGTATTCACAGCAACCCCTATGAAGTGTGGACAGAACGCCACATCCAAGATGGCGGCCGGTCACTGCTTAGGCACCTGCTGCTGAAAGTACAACTGCAACAAAACATGATTTTAAATGCACACTAAAGGTATTTTTGTTGGAGATATTTGTTCTGTTGTGACTTGTTGAATACAGAAAATTTAATAGAATCACTCATGTTGAGGAAAACAAATATTATTTCAATACTTTTAAAACTGATTTTATTCTATTGGTTCGCTCTGTGAACTTTGCCATATTTCCAAGATTTTACACATTAAATATATTAATATTTAAGTCATCAGTCTGTCATTCGACTAATAGAGACAGTATTTTACCCATAAAACCATCTTTTATGCAGCTTAAAGTTAGTTTGGTGTAAAGTTTAGCTAACATACAGCAAAAATAAAAAATAATAAAACATCTGCTGCTACATTTGAAAAATAAAAAGACTAAAGGACTAAAAATATCCTTTAAAAAAACTGAATGTTGTGACTTTATGAAGCAAAAATGTAACAATAAATTCATCAGTTTTCTCCTCAAGTCTGAGAAGAAAACATTTGTTTATAAATCATGATAAATTGCAACTTAATTAAAGTTTTTAGAAAGCTTTGAAAAGTGGATGTTGTACAATAAATCTATTCCATCTTTAGTTTTAGAAAATGAAATTTGGTCTTCTAACAGAGTTAAATGATGATTTATCTAATCCCAAGTTTCATTCTCAAATACTACTTTCTAAAAATCAACTCCACTTTTAAAGTGAAATCATTTATTATTTACAATCTTTAATCCAATATGTTAATATCTTAATTTAAGATTTGAAATTTCTTTCATTTGTGACATTTTTTCTTTCCTCATTTAGTTTATTTTCATTTCTTCTTTTCCTGCTCAATTTATTAAATCAAACTTTTTATTACTAATGTGCCTTGTCATAATATTTTCTTTTAATTTTCCATAAAGTTGGAAAAACAACAAATCATTGCCATAAATCCGCCTTTTAACTCAAAACGTCACGTGCAGCAATGAATTGTGGGTAATGCAGTTTGCAGAAGTCCATAAAAATGCAGAGTTTGCTTTAGGGCAGAAATAGAACCAAGATGGGCGGAAGTGGAGAATGTAGGACACACTGCGACCCTTAACCCCCAACATGAAGCAGAGGGAGAGGATCGGACCTCAGTCTCTGCTCGCTTTTGGAAGCACCTTTTGGATCTGTCGTCGAGCAACCTCTCAGCCAATAAAATAAAAGTGTTGTACTGGGTGCGTTTGTTTCCTTCTAGCGGATGTTCCTGTGTGGCTGCTATCGATTAGAGCAACCTGCACCACCCACTGGATGAAGGGAGTTGGTTGGATGAACGAACTCCTGCCTAAGATCACTAGCTGTTACTGGTTGCTAACAGTAGCTGTTAGCGACCAGTAGTTGTTAGCAATGTAGCTACTGGTCGTTAACAGTAGCTGTTAGCGACCAGTAGTTGTTAGCAATGTAGCTACTGGTCGCTAACAGTAGCTGTTAGCGACCAGTAGTTGTTAGCAATGTAGCTACTGGTCGTTAACAGTAACTGTTAGCGACCAGTAGTTGTTAGCAATGTAGCTACTGGTCGCTAACAGTAGCTGTGATGGGATATATATTGTGCAGCACCAGCGTCCCGTCCTTTGGATCCAAACCAATCACTCTGATTGGCTCTAAACTGAGTGAAACAGAACAAAAAGGTTGATGGGTTTTCTGCAAATCTGATTTCCCTGAAGTGGTACTGGTACCGGGCTCCCAGAACTCCTCCTCCTCAATAAGTAAAGCTGTCTGCGTTACAGATTGCCCAGGGACGTCCAGCTGAAGACACTCTTTGTCCTCTGGATGTCAAATCAATGAAGACCAGTAGAGACGTGGCGGACGGCGGGCCAGAGGAAGAGGAAGCAGCACCTGGTTCAGGTAAGCTTTCATCCAGCTGCAGGGGGCGGGGTCAAGATGTCGGGGTCAAGACAAGGCAACACCTGAGACTGGGCAGAGCCGGCCGCTCACACTTGTTTTCTGTCTCGTCTTCAGGCCAGCCGGTGCTGACCTGGGGCTCGGTGGCTATGGAAGCCAGTGAGTGCAGCGATGCGGAGCTGGGACAGCTGGACATGGACCTGGACAGGAAGTCCAGACAACACAACCTGACATCCAGGAACGTGCGAGCCATCCTACACGTGAGTCACACAGGAGGTCCAGAAGGCGACGCGTTCTGGGCTCGGAGTGACACGGCTTGATCTTCTACAGGAGGTGATAACACATGAACACGTGGTCGCCATGATGAAGGCTGCCATCAGGGACACTCAGGACCTGCCCATGTTTGTGAGTTCTGATTGGCTAACCGGCTCAATGCTTCACATTCAAAAGATTACAGCAGACGGTTCTGGTTCCTGAATTCATGGTCAGTCTGTGACTTTAGCCGACTGGAACCGTTTCTGAAAGGAATGGTTCTGCAGCGGTGGATGGAGATGATCCAAACCTTCAGTAAATCGGATCAGAACCCGTTCTAGATTCACTTCTGCTGAAGGATCCAGAATATTCTGCAGTAAATCCTGAATCGCAACCTCAGTTCTGGTTCTGAATATTGTTTACGGTTCTTTTCCCCTAGGAGACCAAGATGACCCGGTCCAGACTGAAGCAGGCTGTTCAGCAGGGACAGGTTGGTACCGGATAAGAACCAGCTGAGCAGAACCTGCTGAGCAGAACCAACATGTTGATCTGTCTCTCTGTTCGTAGAGTTTCAACTGGACCCTGCCGACTCCAAGCCTGTCCAAGGTAAACCCAGCCTGTAGATTGAAGCGGGCCGCGGTTCTGTGGTCGGCTCGGGTCTGGAGCCGGGTTGGTGCAAGGGAACAACTTGAGGGGCCGTCTTTTCTAAATTCTTATTGTTCTAATGAAAAGTGGGACAAATCGTGATCAGTCTGTGATGCACATCCAGTTTTTGGTGGAAACTGTCCCAGAAACGTTCAGAGCCTGAAGGACCAAACGCTGCACAGGTTCCACCAAAACTTGGAGAAGGACAAATTTAGAAAAGTGCGACGCACAAGAGACTCCAGATGTCTGAAGCCGAGCTGCGATCAGACCTATTGATCACCTTCAGTAATCAAACCTATTGATCAGCCCTGGTTTCTCTTCAGTGAGAAAAAATGAGCCATAGATTCATTCAGACGAATCGTTTTGTCTTTATGAGACAAACTGATCAAATTTATTACTTACATGTGAGATTTTCACATCCTTTATTTTATTTTATTTATTTTGTGTTGGCTTATTGTCTGGGGATAAATTGGTTCAGTTTCATCGTTTAAACACTCAAATATTAAAATCATAAAATCATCGGGTTTGATGCTTCCTGGTCTAAATACTGAATCATATTTCAGTATTTAGATTCAGGCCAGTTTTGACTCTGTACTTTATTATTGTCCTCAGAATAAGTTTGGTGGCAGCTGCACATTTTCACGGCCGGTCAAACTTTCATTCTTATACATCCTGACTTGTGCGTAAAATATGGCGCTGCGCAGTTTTTGAGCAGCGCACGTTTCACACATGAGGCCTCATCTCCTCATGGACATGTCCTCATGTCCTCATGGATATGTCCTCATGGACATGTCCTCATGGATATGTCCTCATGGACATGTCCTCATGTCCTAGCAGCTCTAAAGAGGCGAATCAAGCAGAGCAGCCTTTGTCTCTGAGCCAGGATCTTCATTTCTGTGAAATGAAGAAGCTTTTACAAAAAACCCAAAGAACTCAGGGTTATACTTTCCAGATTTAAAACTGTTTGTTTGTTGAATCCTCTCGGGTTCCAACAAAGAAAACTGGAAATGTTATTGATGTCTTGATCTATATTGTAACAGAGAAACTGATTTTGGAAGTCAAAGCCCAAACATTTACTGCTGATTAAGATGAGGATATTTAGAGAAATATTTTACCCTTCTGTGTCTATTTTCTTCTTTCTTCATCTCTATGTGTGACTTTAAAGTTGCAAATAAATAGCAAAAATATCAATTTAAACCAGAGATGAAGTAAAAAGAGCTGAGTATTTTAGATTTATGACTTTAAAGTAAATTGATACATTATGCTACAGTTAAAGGAACAGATAGAATAATCTATTGAAAATTTTATATGAAAAGATTGCAGTGATAATGATTTTTGTTTAGCTGAACTTTTCAGCCTTTTGCTGCTTTTCAGGCTTCAAACATAAAGATCTAAAATTGTATTAGTTTGTGAAGAATCAACAAGTGGGAAACTATTGTGAGGTGGAACGTCATTTATTGAATATTTTAAACTAACATGAAAACTTTGAAAGTGGGGCGTGCACTTCTCAGTTCTCAGGATGGAAAATTGTCTCATCTATTTATTGAATGTTCAAGATTGAATCCTCTTTATGTTCTTTTAGGTCATTTGTTTGGTGAACAGTTTCCTAACTGCATTTTTATTTATGCACCATAGTTTTGTACAAGAAAGAAATTTATTCAGATTCTTTTAAAATTTTATTTCTGGATCTGTAAAACTGGCAATATGGTTATGGAGAAAAACAACAGAACGTCAGATGATGCTTGTGTTTTATTCCAGAGACTGGAAGTTGTTCAAATTCATCTGGAGTTTGGGTTCTTTAAGTTGACAAAGAATATTTATGGTTTTCTATGCAAGTGGGTATTAATGATGTTTCCTGTATATTGATGAAGCATCTTTAGTTTTCCTTTTTTTGAGTTAGCATTCATGATTGTTTTTTGTTGTCAGACATAAGATGTAAAATAAAGGCAATTTTAAACTGATCTCTCTCCCTCTCTCTCTCTCTCTCTGTGTCTCTCTGTCTCTCTCTATCTCTCTCTGTCTCTCTCCCTCTCTCTGTGTCTCTCTGTCTCTCTCTTTCTCTCTCTGTCTCTCTGTCTCTCTCTCTCTCTGAGGGTGGTGGTGGTGAGGTTGCAGGTGGTGAGTTTGGGAGAATTAAAGTATCAAAACTGTTCTTTTTCTTTTCTTTTTCTTTTATGGGTTTGTTTTTCTTATTCTTTGTTTTGTGACTGTTTTGAGTGTTGGGATCAGGTTGTGTGTTTTTCGGCGCTTGTCGCGCTGTTTGTTTTGTGGGGATGGCGTCTTCGGAGCCGTCGCCCTTGTCGTTGAGGAATGGGATTCGGATCCAACCTGATCCGACAATCTCCGTCGAAACGGTTTTGATGACAGTTGGTGATCTAGTTGGTCATAGTAACTTGAGTTATACGTCTAGGATGAATAAAGGAGTGGTGATTTTTCTAAAAGAAGAGCGGTTTGTGAACCAGTTGATTGGTAGTGGGGTGACATTAGGCGGGGAGTACTTGCAGGTGTCGCCGCTTGCGGTGCCTTCTACCCGGGTTATTATCTCGGGCGTGCCGCCGTTCATTCCTAATGTTTTGTTGGAAAAAGAGCTCCAGCGTTTTGGAAAATTGGCGAGTGGTTTTAAAACTGTTGGTTTGGGATGCAAACATGAGAAGCTGAAACATGTTCAATCTTTCAGGAGGCAGGTCTTTATGTTTTTAAACTCTGCTACACAAAGTTTGGAGATTTCTTTTCGAGTGAAACACGGAGATGGATCATATATGGTTTATGCGAGTTCTGGGAGTATGAAATGTTTTGAGTGTGGGGATGTTGGTCATAAGCGGGCTTCTTGTCCGCATAGAGCTCATGACGGTGGTGATGTGGAGGGGTCGTTGGTGGCCGAGGCGCCCCCGCCTGCCGGGGAGGAGACACGCCCCTCCCCGGCAGGCGGGGGCGGGGTGCTCCCTTTGACTGGTGGTGCTGAGGTTGGTGAGGGTACAAGTGGTTTGAATGAACATGTTGTACGGGAGGAGCTTGAGGAAACTGGAGTTGGTATTCCCAAAGAATCCTCAGATGGGAGTAACGTCGATATAAATTCAGAACAGTTGGCTGCTAGTGTTGTTGCCGGGGTTGAAGTGTTGCCTGTAGGTGGCGCTGCAGGGACTCAGAGTGTGGTGAAACCGATACAGGTAGAAGACATGGAATATGACAGTGACTCTGACAGTGTTTCGATTGCAGATTCCCAAACATCCGGAATTGATTTGTACACTTTGGAGGAAATTAATGATTTCTGGAGGAAACGTTTGGGAAGCAAGTGAAAGTTCTTGATTACTTTCCCGACGCAGAAAAATTTATCAAGAGTGTATTAATGATGCGGAAAGTAGTTGGCTATGAAATGTTAGATGAAAAGAAACGTTTTAGATTAAAAAAGCATTTAACGACCGTGCGGAGACAAATGCCAGAGAAAAAAATGAAAGGGTCGAAACGAGTGAAACTTAACAAATAGGATGTTAAATAAAGTGCACTGGGTGAATTTTTTCTACTGTCCTTGTCTGCTTTCCTTCTCCTTCCTGTCTACATGAGGAATATCAGGGTGGGAACTTTAAATATTAATGGTGGGAGAGATCCACATAAAAGGATGGTTAGTTTAGAGATGATAAGGCAAAAGAAACTTGATGTTGTGTTTTTACAAGAGACACATACGGATCAGGAAAATGAAGTGGAGTGGGGCTGAGCTGGAAAGGGAAATATTTTTTGTCTCATGGGACAAGAGTATCTGCTGGTGTAGCAGTCTTATTCTCTCCAGCTTTGGACATTAATGTTATTTCTCAGTCTGAGATAGTTCCAGGAAGGGTCCTGGTGATTAGAGTGGAAATAGAACAAACCCTTTTCTGTTTTATGAATGTTTATGCACCAAATCAAGGGGATCAAAGACTTAAAATTTTTAAGATTATTCATAGTTTTTTGCAACAGTCGAATCAAAATGAGTGTGTGGTGTTGGGGGGAGACTGGAACTGTACAACGAGTTTTTTACATGATAGAACAGGGGAAGAGCCTCATCCTCCATCGTCTTCTAGATTAACTGAGATGATGGTAGAGATGGGTCTAGTTGATGCGTGGAGAACTAAACACCCCCAAGATATACAGTACACCTGGGTGAAAATGACGGATGGGATAGTGTGTGGGGCTCGTTTGGATCGGTTTTATATTTTAGATACGGATAGAAATAGATTGTTAAATTGTTTTATTTCTCCGGTGGGGTTTTCTGATCATCATCTAGTTTATCTAGATTTTTTTTGCTCGAGTAACATTAGAGCTAAATCGCATTGGCATTTTAATACGAAGTTACTTAAAGATAATCTCTTTTGTCAAAAGTTTAGTGACTTCTGGTATATTTGGAAAACGAGAAAGTTAGAATTTATGTCATTAACTGAGTGGTGGGAGGTCGGGAAGGCTCAGATAAGAGTTTTTTGCCAACAGTATACAAAATTTTCTACATCAACAATTAAAAAAGTGATTCAGAAATTAGAAAACGAGATAAAAGTGTTAGAAACTGATGTGTCAAAAAATGCTGATAGTCAACTGAGGGACAAGAGGGATCAGTTAAGCTGTTTTTTACATGAAAGGGCTAAAGGGGCCTTGGTTCGATCACGGTTTACTTCAGTGACAGAGATGGATGCCCCTACATCTTTCTTCTTTAATTTGGAGAGGAGTACCAGCAGGGCGAAACAGATGAATTGCCTCCAACTTGCTAATGGAGCGCTGACTGCTGATCCTTGTGCCATGAAAGAACTTGCCGTGACCTTTTACAGTGACCTTTACAAGAAGCAGACATGTGACAGAGGATCCATGGAAACTTTGCTGGATGGTCTTCCTCAACTTACTGCTACAGATCGGGAAATTCTGGATGTTGGAGTCTCGATGGAGGAACTGACGGCTGCAGTTGGTCAAATGGGTTCTGGAAAGAGTCCAGGAATAGACGGTTTACCTGCGGATTTTTAAAACATTTCTGGAGGTTGCTGGGGGAAGACTTGTGGGAGGTGCTACAGGAGTGCGCATCAACGGGATTTTTGCCGCCATCCTGTCGGAAAGCTGTTCTGTCATTGCTTCCAAAAAAAGGAGACTTGACTTTGTTGAAGAACTGGAGGCCAGTCTCTCTCCTGTGTGTGGACTATAAGTTATTTTCTAAAGTGCTTTCCAATAGACTGAAAAATGTTCTTAAATTTCTAATACATAGAGATCAATCGTATTGTGTACCTGACAGATCAATTAAGGATAATCTTTTCTTTTGAGAGACCTGTTTGACATTTGTAGAATATATGGAACTGATGTGGGAATAATTTCACTGGATCAGGAAAAAGCTTTTGATAGGGTGGATCATGTTTTTCTTTTTTCTACATTAAGAGCGTTTGGTTTCGGTGAGGGCTTTATGTCCTTCCTGGGGTTATTATACAATGAAGCAGCTTGTGTTGTTAAAGTGGGGGGTGGTTTAAGTCGTCCTGTGAAAGTTCGAAGGGGGATTAGACAAGGTTGTCCAATATCTGGTCAACTGTACTCTATTATAGTTGAACCTTTTTTGCATAGACTTCGTTCTACTCTTAATGGTTTTGTTCTTCCAGGTTTGTCACAGGGTCAGGTTTAATAGTCTCTGCCTATGCTGATGATATAAATATTTTTATTCGGGATCAGAATGATATTGTGAATCTTCAGTGTTGTTTGGAGCTATATGAGAAAGCTTCTTCGGCTAAAGTGAACTGGGAGAAGAGTTCTGCAGTTAAAGTTGGTTTATGGGAAAATAAAACTCTCCCCACATTGCCTGGGAATATGCACTGGGTGGATCAGGGTTCAAAATTTTTGGGTGTTTTTTTAGGAACAGAGACTGCTTTGAATAGAAATTGGGAGGGTGTCATGGAGAGAGTGTGTGCCAGATTATCTAAATGGAAATGGTTGCTACCTCAGTTATCCTATAGGGGGAGAGTGTTGGTAGTCAATAACTTGGTTGCTTCGGCCCTTTGACATAAATTGACTGTGTTGACACCGTCAGCCTCCCTTATACAAAGACTCCAAAGGACTATAGTGGACTTTTTCTGGTCCGGATGCCATTGGGTGAGGGCTGCGGTTTTGTATCTACCCGTGGAAGAAGGAGGACAAGGACTCATCGACATCACGTCACGGATTGCGGCCTTCAGGCTGCAAAGCTTGCAGAAGATGCTGTATGGAGTTGGACTGCCATGGCTGGATACGGGTCGTCTTCTTCTACGGAAAGCAGGAAGGATGGGGTACGATAAACATCTCTTCTTACTGAAGCAAGGTTCGGTGGACTTGACTGGACTTACCCCTTTCTATCAATCAGTGATAAACGCATGGAAGATTCTCACGTTTGAGAGAGAGACTCAAATATCACCTGGGATGTGGCTTTTTGAAGAGCCTTTGTTTGGAAATGGTTTTCTCTCGTCTCAACTCCTCTCATCCGTTACGCTACGATCTAAGATGATAGAAGTGGGTTGTGTGAAGTTGGGACATTTATTAAAGCTGTCTGTGGACGTTTTAATGGAGAAGTTGAGCATAAGGTCTAACAGACTTGTTTCAAAGCTGAAAGAAGAGGCGTGTGCGTCCTTGCCAGAGTCTATTAGAGCGTTTGCTGTTAACAGTACTCTGTCTGACCAATGGGATGATGAATGTGAGTACAGTTTTCCTTCCCTGATCGTCTCTCCTGCGGCAGATCATTGGCAGAACGAGACAAGTTTATTGTTGTCTATCCGAGACGGCCCATTGGGGCGTTTTGGAAATTTGGAAAAGAAGGTTTTATATCATACTTGTGTGAAGGTTCTGAATTTACGCTCTCTGGCGGGAGTGAAGGTGTCGAAGTGGACTGAGTTTTTTGACTCCAGCTCTACCCCGGGAGGCTGTTGGAGGTCCCTGTACAAACCCCTGTTGAAAAACGGGTGGGTGACCTCCAGTGGAGGATTGTGCATGGGGCCATAGCTACGAACAGGTATCTGGCGCACCTTGATCCTGGCGTCAGCGTTTCTTGTTGTTTTTGTTCTCATGACGAAACATTATTTCATTATTTGTCGAGTGTGAGAGGTTGAAGTCTCTGTTTGTTCTTTTAAGGCAGTTGTTTGATGGTTTTGGGGAATTGTTTTCAACTTGTATTTTTATTTATGGCCCACGGTATTGTGTGAGAAAGAAGTCCATTCACATTCTCTTGAACTTTCTTTCAGGAACTGCAAAACTGGCATCATGGATATCAAGGAGGAACAAAAGAACAGTCAACAAACAGATGATGCTTGTGTACTATTTAAGAGATTGTTGGTTGCTCGGATTCGTGTAGAATTTGAGTTTTTTAAGTTGACAAAAGACATGGAAGGTTTTCTGTGTAAATGGGGTATTAAGAATGTGCTATGTACATTGGATGAAGAGTCTTTAGTTTTCCTTTTATGTTGAGTTGATAATGGGTTTGTGTTAGTTTGTGTGTGTGTTTTTTTTGTGTGATTTGACAATAGGAATGTTAAATAAAGGAATTTAAAATTCAATCTCTCTCTCTCTCCATCTCTCCCTCTCCTCTCTCTCTCTCTCTCTCTCCCTCTCTCTCTCTCCCTCTCCCTCTCTCTCTATCTCTCTCCCTCTCTCTCTCTCTCTATCTCTCTCCCTCTCTCTCTCTCTCTCTCTCTCTCTATCTCTCTCTCCCTCTCTCTCTCTCCCTCTCTCTCTCTATCTCTCTCTCTCTCTCTCTCTCTCTGCAGCCTCCTCAGTTTGTTGACATTGACCTTGAGGAAGATGAAGACTCCTCTGATGAAGAGTACTGTCCTGATGAAGAGGAGGAGGACACGGCTGAGGAGGTGAGTGAGTCTCTTTCAGACCCTCTTCTGTATATTATGGGATGGAGCGTTAGGGGTTGCCATGGTACTACAATAATTAGGGTTGAAAGGTCGTTTCCAACACCCTTTGTGCAGATGTTTCTCAGTGATGCCGACAGTCTCGCCTCACCTCCCAGAATGCACCTGTGCTCTCCACCTGAACACCCAGACCAGGAGACCCGGGAACCTCAGGAGGTACTATGACCTCTGACCCCTGACCCCAGAGTTTTGCATTGATTGACGAAAACGATTGTGGGAGTTTGAAAGTCCGAGTTGAGAAGCTGAAGGCGGAGAAGCAAAACGCTGATAACTGATGATGTGTTGATGAGAGTCTGATCGTTGCTGCTGGCGCTGACTCAGCCAAAACCACAAACAGACCTTTCTCCTCGCCTTTCATCTGTAACCGTGGAGATGAGCTGGTACATCCACCCTAACATATAATCTTCCCGTTGAAGTGAAGGTTGTGTCTAGACAGGCTGCTGTGGGGCCCAACGTAAAACTCATGTTTATTATGAACCTGGAAACAAATACTGTTGAAAAACGAGAATTCTTCTACCTGTTGCTATCTACCCCACAAAGTCGCTGCCCAGTAGCACAATATGAGGGAAACAACGTCAGGCAGAAACATTAATTGTTCACATGTTCAACCATAACTGACACCATATCAGTGTTTATTCAATGTGGATCAAACATTTACTAAAGCGGGACCAACTATTCGTGTTTTTCATTTCAAACTGGTTCCTGAACACTCAGAGCTCCCCTGACCTCTGACCTCTGACCCAGGCATCAAACAGCAGATTTGATTGTAAAAATGAGCATGTTTCATTTCATATCTTCAAACTATAGAATATATTATATGAAACATATAAGTTTAGTAAGCAAGCAGTTTGTTTCATGTTTCAATACCAATAATCTGTTACACTCAATATTTTCTGATTGGTTTTTTATTTCTTTGGCTGCAATGAACTAAAAGATTTTCAGATGAATATATGATTTATACACTATGATCTATTATAAAAGCTCTACACTGCATAGACTTAATTTTAATCACATTGTGATCATTATATCTAAGAAAAATGTTCCACTGATTAAGTTATGTATTCATTAAATTATGAATCTAAATCTAACCTACTCAAAATAATTATGATCAATCTAATATTTCAAAATGCACTAAAGTTAAACATCATTAAATTAGAATAATTAAAGTAATATTTCCAACACTATAAACACTAAAACATGAATCATGCTGGAGCTTTCTTTGCCACATTGATAGACTCCTGACTGAAACGGATTTTTAAGAGAAAATGTTAAAAATCTTAAAATTAATCTGCACATCCACATAAAATGCAGCATCAATGCTGCAGCCAAATAACAATTTAAACACCTAATGATAAAAGCTAGAAGAAATTGTAGATCAATGAATCTCCTTTTCCTGACCCAACACTTTCTTGTACTGAAGTCCAGCCTGCAGTGACCGGATCTCACCACCAGGCTCTCATCAGGTCTTTTAAACACAGCAGGCATCAAACAGCCAGAATCGGGCTGGATGAATCTCAGCTGTTCATCAGCACGTTAAACAGCTGTTTTCAGTCTGGGACTGGCCTAGTCAAAGTGTTCAATGACGTCCATGTAAACCCAGATGGTGGAAGAAACACAAAGCTGGTTCTGGTTCTGGTCATGTTACTGAACCGACTGGAGAACTGGGTCGGACTCCCCGGTCCAGAGCTCAACTGGTTCCAGTCCGACCTGAAGAACTGGGATTTCTTTGTTTCCATTGCAAACGTCCCATCGAGAGGTCAGAGGTCATATGTGGAGCTCCCCAAGGCTCCATCCTAGGACTTCTCTGATTCAGGGTCTATAAGCTCCCACTGGTTGCAACAGGAAATAAGATCTGTTACCATGACGACGCACAGCTCTAAGTATTATGTCACCAGGTAACCTTTGACCCCAGCCATCACTGAACAGATATCAGAGAAATGTGTGGATGAGACAAAACTTTCTGAAAAGAAACTGAAGTTTCTCTAGCATTCTAGACCTAGGGTTCTAGACCTAGAGTTTCTAGACCTAGGGTTCTAGACCTGGAGTTCTAGACCTAGAGTTCTAGACTTGGAGTTCTAGACCTAGAGTTCTAGACCTGGAGTTCTAGACCTAGAGTTCTAGACTTAGAGTTCTAGACCTAGAGTTCTAGACCTGGAGTTCTAGACCTAGGGTTCTAGACCTGGAGTTCTAGACCTAGAGTTCTAGACTTAGAATTCTAGACCTAGAGTTCTAGACCTAGAATTCTAGACCTAGAGTTCTAGACCTGGAGTTCTAGACCTAGGGTTCTAGACCTAGAATTCTAGACTTAGAGATCTAGACCTAGAGTTCTAGACCTAGAGTTCTAGACCTAGAGTTCTAGACCAAGAGTTCTAGACCTAGGGTTCTAGACCTAGAGTTCTAGACTTAGAGTTCTAGACCTAGAGTTCTAGACCTAGAATTCTAGACCTAGGGTTCTAGACCTAGGGTTCTAGACCTAGAATTCTAGACTTAGAGTTCTAGACCTAGAATTCTAGACCTAGAGTTCTAGACCTAGAGTTCTAGACCTAGGGTTCTAGACCTAGAATTCTAGACTTAGAGTTCTAGACCTAGAGTTCTAGACCAAGAGTTCTAGACCTAGGGTTCTAGACCTAGAATTCTAGACTTAGAGTTCTAGACCTAGAGTTCTAGACCTAGAATTTTAGACCTAGAGTTCTAGACCTAGAGTTCTAGACCTAGAGTTCTAGTCCTAGAGTTCTAGACCTAGAGTTCTAGACCCGGAGTTCTAGACCTGGAGTTCTAGACCTAGGGTTCTAGACCTAGAATTCTAGACCTTGAGTTCTAGACCTAGAGTTCTAGACCTGGAGTTCTAGACCTAGAGGTCTAGTCCTAGAGTTCTAGACCTAGAGTTCTAGACCTAGAGTTCTAGACCAAGAGTTCTAGACCTAGGGATCTAGACCTAGAGTTCTAGACCTAGAGTTCTAGACCTTGAGTTCTAGTCCTAGAGTTCTAGACCTGGAGTTCTAGACCTAGAATTCTAGACCTAGCGTTCTAGACCTGGAGTTCTAGACCTAGGGTTCTAGACCTAGAATTCTAGACTTAGAGTTCTAGACCTAGAGTTCTAGACCTAGAGTTCTAGTCCTAGAGTTCTAGACCTAGAGTTCTAGACCTAGAGTTCTAGACCTGGAGTTCTAGACCTAGAGTTCTAGACCTAGAATTCTAGACTTAGAGTTCTAGACCTAGAGTTCTAGACCTAGAGTTCTAGTCCTAGAGTTCTAGACCTAGAGTTCTAGTCCTAGAGTTCTAGATCTGGAGTTCTAGACCTAGAATTCTAGACCTAGGGTTCTAGACCTAGGGTTCTAGACCTAGAATTCTAGACCTAGAGTTCTAGACCTAGAGTTCTAGACCTAGGGTTCTAGACCTAGAATTCTAGACTTAGAGTTCTAGACCTAGAGTTCTAGACCAAGAGTTCTAGACCTAGGGTTCTAGACCTAGAATTCTAGACTTAGAGTTCTAGACCTAGAGTTCTAGACCTAGAATTTTAGACCTAGAGTTCTAGACCTAGAGTTCTAGACCTAGAGTTCTAGACCTAGAGTTCTAGTCCTAGAGTTCTAGACCTAGAGTTCTAGACCCGGAGTTCTAGACCTGGAGTTCTAGACCTAGGGTTCTAGACCTAGAATTCTAGACCTTGAGTTCTAGACCTAGAGTTCTAGACCTGGAGTTCTAGACCTAGAGGTCTAGTCCTAGAGTTCTAGACCTAGAGTTCTAGACCAAGAGTTCTAGACCTAGGGATCTAGACCTAGAGTTCTAGACCTAGAGTTCTAGACCTTGAGTTCTAGTCCTAGAGTTCTAGACCTGGAGTTCTAGACCTAGAATTCTAGACCTAGCGTTCTAGACCTGGAGTTCTAGACTTAGAGTTCTAGACCTAGAGTTCTAGACCTAGAGTTCTAGTCCTAGAGTTCTAGACCTAGAGTTCTAGACCTAGAGTTCTAGACCTGGAGTTCTAGACCTAGAGTTCTAGACCTAGAATTCTAGACTTAGAGTTCTAGACCTAGAGTTCTAGACCTAGAGTTCTAGTCCTAGAGTTCTAGACCTAGAGTTCTAGTCCTAGAGTTCTAGATCTGGAGTTCTAGACCTAGAGTTCTAGACCTAGAATTCTAGACTTAGAGTTCTAGACTTAGAGTTCTAGATCTGGAGTTCTAGACCTAGAGTTCTAGACCTAGAGTTCTAGACCTAGAGTTCTAGACCTGGAATTCTAGACCTGGAGTCGATTTCAGTTTTTTTACTGGATACCAGAGATGAGGCTGACCTCTGACCTGACCCTTTAGAACCATATACAGACGGTTCTTCCGGCTCCAGTTCTACACCACCTGGTTCTACAGTCCAGAAGACTGAGAGACTTTAAACTGCTGGTACTTTAGAAATCTGCTGCTGGATCAACCTGCTGGTTCTGGTTCTGCTCTGCATCAGAACTGGAATCACTCATGGAGAAGCGTCTTTTCACCACAGATCTAGAACAAGCTTCCAGTAAACTGAAAAACAGCCAAAACCCTGAGTTTCTTTAAATCCAGTGATCAATAATCTGATGTGTAACAATTTGAAAATGTGATGTTTCAGTTCTTTGCTGTTTCACTGACTTTGCTTTGTGTTTTTGATGTGAAGTTCTATGAACTGCCTTGTTACTAAAATGTGATACACAAACAAACTTGATTGAATGCAATCAAGTTTGTTTAAGGTCAGACTTGACCTCCTATCTTTTGTCTAGAGTGTTGCAGGTCAGGTGACAGACCAGGTGAGCAGCTCCTCTGGCGCTGGTTCCTCTGACAGTTCCTTCCTAGAGAGGCTAAACGCTGTGGAGGCGGAGCTAGACTGTAGCTCCGCCTACTCCTACGACCAGGTAACATCTCACCTGTCTCTTTGTCTAGGAACTCCCTGCTCTTCTGCCTCTCACCTGTCTGTCTCTCTCTCTCAGCCTTTGGACAGGAAGCCAGGGGCTGATGAAGAGGATGATGGTGATAAAGGCTGCCTGGCGTTCCGGACGCGCTCCAAGCTTCCTCTGGTCAACGTTCCTCTGGACCGCCTGGAGGCGGAGCTTCTGCCCCCTGACATCACCGCGGACATGTACGACCAGAGCCCCGCCCAGCTGGAGGACCGCCATTGGACTGAATGGTTGCAGGGTCTCTTGGCGCCTGGTCCAGAAGGTCAGAGGTCATGGTATCTTTGGGGGTTCCTCAGTGACGCAGCATTGAGCAGAGCGCCGCCTGTTGGCTGTAGCCGTACCTTTCAAGCAGCCCAGCAGCAGTGATGGCATAGTTATTTTGAAAAAGTAACTTTAATCACATTACTGATTACTCCTTGAAAAAGTAACTTAGTTACATTAAAAGTAACATTTTTAGTTACTTTCAGCAGCTGCTAACAACAACACTTGTGACCTGTGAAAATCACATTGATCTTTGCCAATAATTAATTGCAAATTATTTTGTAATGGTAACATCAACAATGTGTCTCCACTCATAAGGTTGAACTGAAGAGATTTTGAATGGTTACAATAGTACAAAAAAAACCCTGTGAGTAATGTGTTTGTGTTTCTGTTATCTGGAAAACTAATAAGGATTTTAAAGCCCCCGTCCTGCCCCCGTCCTGCCCCCCGTCCTGCCCCCCGTCCTGCCCCCGTCCTGCCCCCCGTCCTGCCGGAGCATTCTGTGTCCGGTAATCGGCCCGCCGTCGGTTCTGGTCCGTCCCCCGTGAAGTAGAAACGATTTGCTCATTGCCTGTTGCTTCTGGCTCAGTCAGGCAAACTGGGAAGGCTAAAAGAGAAACAACTCTGTAAATAAATTGATTAAACATTGTAAGATTAATACTGAATAAACGTCTAATAAAAGTAAACGCACTGTAAATATTTTATTTTCCACAATCTGAAATTGCAACGCGTTAGATTACTGGTCCGACGTCAGTGACACGTTACAAAGTAACGAGTTGCTGACAACACTGCAGGACGTTTGTTTTCACACCCAGATGCTGCGAGCCGAGCTGCAGCTTCTCTGTTCCCCATCCATGCATGCGGAGGCGGTCCCAGCCTTTTTGGCTCCCTGGACGAACCCTCTTTCTAAAATGTTCGTCCTCCAGGAGCGCTGTGAGCTACGTTCTTCTGCTGGTTGATTTAGGGTCAGAAACTTCACACACAGTCACATTTGGTCAGTAAATCCGATTTTAGCACAAAGAGCTGCAGTGAGAATGAAACTAAGGACAACTGATGTCCTCCCGACCGCCCAGGTCGCTTTAGGCCGGTTTCAGATCTGATGGAAGCATCTGAACCTTTATGGGTCAGATCGTTTAAATTTTCAGGTGACCTGAGCAGATGTTCTGTCAGAAATATTTTTGTAGTCTGCAAACGGTTGCCTTATCTGCCTGAAGGTGCCGCGCACAGCAGTGGACAGAGTGGGACATTTCCTCGGTGGACGACTGTAGGGACAAAGTGTGGAACCTGGACCAGACTGGATGGTTGATGATCCGTCTCTCTCAATCCTTCTTGTTGCTTTCAGAGGAAGCTGATGATGATGATGACCCAGAGTACAACTTCCTGGAAGACCTGGATGAGCCGGACCTGGAAGACTACCGGACGGACCGAGCCGTCCAGATCACCAGTAGGTGTTCAGGGTGGGGTGGTGTTGTGGATCAGCTGGTCTCCGCCTGAACTCTGTCTTCTGTTCCAGAGAAGGAGGTCAATGAGCTGCTGGAGGAACTCTTTGACACGGTGTGCTTTTCTGGTTTTCTGGTTCTGGAGGACATGCAGAGTGGACCTTGGTACCGTCCAGATGTTGATTTCACTGGTTTGTCCTCTGTAGCTGCAGGAGGAAAAGCTTTTAGCTGAGGAGGAGGAACAGGAAGTCCCTTCAGTGCCCAAGTTTAACGTCCCGCAGGTTTTACGGTGAGTTTCACATCAAGGACAGGACAGTCCCTCCTGAATGTCTGAGGTGGCGGCGAACTTCCAGAAGCTCCAATTGGGTCGGATCTGTTGGTGGGTGGTGTCCATGAGCAACGGGTGAAAGCCGGTCCTCCTGTTGGGACGGTCCGGCAGAGCAGTGCTGGCACCGTTTGGGTCAGGAGGAATAGAAATGTCCTCTGCTAGTTCTCTGATTAAAGATGCCAAGAGAAGAGTTGAGCAAAGAGGAGAACATCCTGACTGCTCAGGTTGTAGCTGAAGCTGTTTCCTCAGAACCTGGGTTCACAAGTTGTTTTGCTGACTTCATTTCTATTAGTTTCAGGGTTGATCGGATCCAATCTAGCCTGATTCATTGTTTTGTTGGCGTCTTTAGCTTTGAGGCTCCGTTAGCCGGGATGCTGACGGAGCGGCGGAAGACGGTCCGGAAACAGTATGAAGCCTTGCAGCAGAGGAGAGCTCTGCAGGACACCACCAACCATCCCAGGACCACCAAGGGTCCGTCCGGCTCTCCACTCGTCGTCCTGGGAAACCTGACCGGCCCCGCCCTCCACACAGATCCCTTCTTCCGATTGGACCGCACCCAGAAACTGCAGCTGCAGCAGCAGGTGCAACAGGTACGTCTTCTAAAACCATCATAACTCCTCAGTGGATCGGGTCAGTGGTTCCTCTGGGGTTGGTTCTGTTTCATTTTGGTAATCATGGACAAATGGACCGAATCATGTTCAGTTGTGAAGCAGACCAGAAACTTTACAGACCCCTAACCCTCTGGCGGTTCTGTCCTTCAGCACGTCCAGCTGCTGACTCAGGTCCACCTGCTGAGCCGCCGAGTCCACGCCCTGAACCACGAGGCACACCTGACCAAACGCTACCTGGTGAGTGTTGTGGACCTGTGAGGCAGGATTCAGGGCCCAGACCTCTTAATGTCTCTGTGTCCAGGACGGCGCTGTCACAATATCTCCTGTCAGGTTGGACGATGTTTCGGTGGAGTGGATCAGATCAGTACTCATTTCGTCCTGCAGGAGGAGCTGCAGCAGTTTGCTGGTCGTCATGACGTCCTCTGTCCTCCCAGCAGCTTCAGAGCATGTAACCTGCAGGGGGCGCTGGACCTATTGAGGGAGGTGGATCAGAGACAGCCCAGTCCGCCCTGTGGTTCTGGCTCTGGAGCCTCCAGGCGGCTCCTCCCCACCATGACTCCCACCACTAGCAGTAAGACCCAAACCTCGGTTCTGACCGCTCAGCTACACTTCCAGTTTTTGGGTGCCACTTCTGGTTCTGGTCCGATTCAGGTCACGCCTTCCCGCTGCTCCCTGCTGACGCCGCCTGGCTGTTTGCCACTCGACCCGTCTTCCTGTACCCGGAACTACTTCCTGTCTGCAGCCTGGACCCCGCCCTGCACAGCAGACGCCAACGCAGAGTCTACACCGCCGCAGAGGACGGGTATGGTTAAAGAAGGTCAGAGGTCAGAGCGGGTCTCAGTGGGTCCTGTAACCCTCTTCCCATGATGCCTTGCTGCAGGCTGGCGGTGCTGGGTCTGAAGCACTTCCAAGGGGCGCTGAAGGCTGACGAGCTGATCAGCTCCTTCCTGCTCTGCAGGAGCCGTTCCGACTTCAGGAGGCGGATCCGGGAGATGAGCAGCCCCAGAGCGCCGCGGGACGGCGTCATCAAGGTGATGTTGTTACACCTGTGTGATGTCACCTGGGAACAATGACAACACAGGTCTCTGACGTTGCGTTTCCTCCAGGTGTTTGTGACGCAGGGTGTCGTCCCCCCACTGCCCGTCGCTTGCTGCAGGGTCAGTCCAGGCAACCAGCGCCCCCCTGTGGACAGAGACACTTCCACCATACCCAGATGGTTGAAGGTCAGAGGACACCCTCTAGCCAGTTGTACCTTTCTGTAGCTAGCAGCTCACCTGTGACGGTTGTCACCTGTAGAACAGCCAGTCGATCATCCAGAGGACCCGGAGAGGCGCCGGCGCATACCCCCCGTCGCTCCCCCCTGGTGTCACCCTCAGGCTCCACCCCTCCTATGGCAGGAAGTCCCAGGTCTCTCGCCGCACCCAGCGCCGCCTCTTCACGCTGGCCCATAATGCATCTCTGCTCCCGCTCGCCAAAGCCCCAGCAGAGCAGGCGATCAGCCTCTGTGGAACGCTACCATTGGCTGCCGCTCGTCTAAGCCCCTCCCTCTCCCTACATCAGGACATCCAGCAGAAATCAGCCCCCAGCACTGCAACCCCCACCATGCCTTGCTCAGCAACAGCCCAGCAGCTGTGGACCCTTTCCTCTTCCTCCCAGCATGCCGTGGGGCCCAACGTTCTCCGACCAATCAGACAGCAGGAACCAGAGAGCTGCGTCCATCCTCCAGAGGAAGACAAGGACAATTCTTCATCATCACTGAGTCCGTTCTCCTCCAGTGCAGGAGATGAGGAGGAGGACTGGTCGAAGATGGCCGTCAGTCTAAAAGGAGGAGGAAGAGGAGGAGCGGTGGAGGTGGGGGGACAGGAGAGGACAGCGGACGAGGGAGAGCAGGAGGAGCCGGACGGAGACGGGGAGGAAGAGGAGGATGATGAGGATGGGGGACGAGAGGACAGGAGGGGAGAGAGAGAGGATGATGGGGACAAGGATCGTCGTGGTGGCGACGAGGAGGAGGAGGAAGAGGATGACGAAGAGGAGGAAGAGGAAGACTTCGATGACCTAACCCAAGACGAGGACGAGGAGGAAGTGATGTCATCAGCGTCTGAGGAGTCCGTCCTGTCGGTTCCTGAGTTGCAGGTGAGGAGGGGGGGGGGGGGGGTGTCTGCCACAATGTCCTCGGCTGTTGTCATGACGACGGCGGTGTCCCCCACAGGAGACGATGAAACAGCTGACCTGGCTCGCGGCAGAGCGGCGGCTCTGCGACGGAGACTCAGAAGACGACCCGTCCTCGCAGGAGGACGAGGACGAGGATGACGACGAAGCTAAGGGGGAGGAGCCAGCAGAAGGGCGGAGCTTCCAGACCAGCCTCGACAAGGACACGCCATCCGGAGACAAGACGCCCCGGGGACGGCGGAGCGCGGGCCGGGGACGAGGTGAGACCGTCCGCAGGGGCGACTGCGCTGGACGGTACCAGTCCACCGTCCTCACCGGCCATGTTGTCTCTGTTGTCCTCAGGCCGCAGCCGTCCGCTGCGCGGCTTGACGAGGACGCGTCTCAGTAAGGACGCCTCCAAGCTGTCCCTGCTGTATGACGAGAAACTGCTGGACAACGACCCGCTGAGGGACAGCAAGGACGCGGCGTTTGCCCAGAGCTACCTGAACAGGGTGGGTGGCCCTGGATTAAAACTGGAGTGCTGCTCTCTGATTGGTCAGTTATCCAGCTCCTGTCGCCACCTGCAGGCTGCAGCAGGAAGATTTCCTCATTCATTCATTACTGTTTTAATAACCTAAATGTCGTTGATCTAAAAATGTAAATGTTAGCAGAACATTTAGCATGAACCTGAGCTGGAGCTGCTAGACCGGCCTTTCAGCCAACTGACCAGCAGCAGGTTGTCATTGAAATGATTGAAACTGCTTCTGTGACAAATTTGAACCAGAACTTTGCAGAACCGCGGTGCTGCTGGTTCAGACCGCTCTCTGTGCTCTCATGGTTTCCAGGTGCGCGAGGCGCTGCAAGACTCGCCTGAGCAGGTGCAGGAGTTTGTTTCTTTGCTCGGCGAATTTGAACAAGCAGGAGACGGACAGGAAGTGACCCGTCTGTTCAGGAAGCTGCGCTGCATCCTGGGAGAACACACAGACCTGCTGCGGGACTTTGCTGCATTCCTGCATCCTGAGCAGGCGCTGCAGTGCGGGCTGGTGAGTTCCTGCAGTACCACCGTTCCACCCACAGAGGGCAACGGGCAGGAATTAAGAAATTTCAAATGTTAGAATTAGCACAGAGAAATCAAGATGGAGACGAGTTCAAACTTCAATTATTTAGATTTAACTGCTTTTGATATTTCATTTTTCTGAGGCAAATTTTACATTTGATTTACATTCAGTTTAAATATAAAGCAGCTTTTAGCAGAGCTTTAGATGCTAAATTATTACAACTGTTAATAAATATCAATACACTGAAAGAGGTTGATGTTCCTGATCTACCTGGTTCTGGTTCTGGTCCAGTTGGAGGAGCAGCAGGCGTTCGAGCGGAGCAGGCGTTTCCTGCGGCAGCTGGAGATCAGCTTCGGAGACAATCCCACTCATTACCACAAGATCATCCGAGCCCTGCAGACCGGACCCGACCCGAGCCCAGCCCACATCCAGGAGGTACTCGACCTTCTGATTCCGCTCAGATAGTTCTGCTCCGGTCCGGTCCTGGTTCTGATCCCGCTTCCGGCCCGTTTGCGTAACCGTAACCTTCCTCCCAGCTGAAGGTTCAGATGGCGGCGCTGCTCAGAGGCCACACCCACCTGCAGGCTGAATTCTGGGTATTCTTCGACGACCTGCGGCCGCCGCCGGCTCGACCCGAACAGTTTGAAGAGGCTCACCTGCCGGAGGAAGGGGATGGCGCCGAGGGGGGCGGAGCCAACGGCCAGGTGTCGGGAGGCGGAGCCGGCTTCGAGGAAGTGACGCTGCCGGACCTGGACGAGGAGGAGGAGGGGCATAAAATCCCACCAATAAGAAGCCGGCGCCAGAGGAGGAAAATGGAGTCCCACCGCAGCTACAAGGTGCCTGGTGATGTCACAGAGACCTCAGGCTGTGATTGGCCTGATTTTAGTTTATAAAACTTGAATCCACTGCTGACCTTAGCAAAGATTGAACTTCCTCCCAAGAGTCTGAGTGAGAGGGTTGGTTCCCCCTAGTGGACAGGAGGAGTTCAGAAACATTTTCAGGGTGGAGTAGCGCCGCCTGCTGCGCCTCAGAGCCAGAAAGTGATCAGCGTCAGTCAGCTATGAAACAACAGAAGAAGAAGATTGTTAAAGGCACAGACAGACAAAACCCAAGCTTCTGATTGGTTGTTAGAGACCATGATGGTCCAGCATCTTCATCATTCAACGGTTTGTGTTTGCAGGGCTCTGATTGGCTCTGCCTCTGTGACGATGCGACGATCAGCCGACATCGGAGGAAACGATGCTCTCGCTGCCATGGCAACAAGGTCTGACTTCTTTACACTGTTGCAGGACTTTCAGATAAAATTACTTTCATTTCTAAATAATATTTTTCCTTATTTGTCATCAGCTGAGGAGCAATAAAAGTTCTCACATGGGGTTCTGCTGGTTTAGCGTCTTACTGATGTTTGTTCAGGTAAATAAGTCCCGCCTTATTTACCTGAACAAAGGTCTCTGCTTTATTTTTCTAAAGTTATTCAGCTGAATTTCCACTAGGGGGCAGCTCTGACCTGGCTTCCTGCCTCTAAGGAAAGTTTCAGAGAGCATCAAATGTGGTGGCAGTGGAGCTGCTGATGAAGATGAAGATGTCTGTTTCACACTAACTTCATGAAGGCATCATAATTGACGGAGAGGTTCAGGGAACTCTACCAGTTCCCTAAACAACTGCTTCCTGATTGATGATCAATGCATTTGCCTGTTGCAATAAATCAGATGATCAATTAAAACAAGCTTAATAATTTACATTTACACGGTTTTTAGTGTTTCTCTTCTTTCTTTTCTCCAAAAATTAGATGATGAAGTCTTCATTGTGTTGCTTTTATTTTGAAGGATAATCTTGTTTACAGAGGCTTCAGAATTCATTTGATCTGTTTTTTATTTTGAATATTTCAAATGATTTCCAGATCCAGTGAAGAGTCTGGCTAAAAAAATCAGAACGCTGCTGCTGGCATTCTGACTAAAACCAGGAAGAAACAGTTTCTACATTCCTTCACTGAGAGACTTTTATGAATCACTGAGAAGTTTATGAATCACTGAAGGGATAAAATATCTGCTGCTGCTGGATCAACCTGCTGCTTCAGAACCAGATCCAAACTTGGAGAAGCAGCATTCAGCTTCTATGCACCACAGATCTGGAACAAACTTCCAGAAAACTGAAAAGTGCTGAAACGCTGATCTGCTTTCAGGTTAAGAGCCTCATCCTGGTCAGAGTTTGATTGATGTATCTGATTATTCTGGTCTGGATTTCATTCACTCTGTTTTTCTTCTGTGACGTTTTCATCCTGTGACCTTTAACCTCTCCCTCTGACCCGCTGAGCCGTACCCTAGCAGGACTCAGGTGAAGGTGAAACTGACCTGCCTGTCTGCTTCCTGCCAGACGTCTCCAGGTGTGTCCAGAGCCATGAAGAATTTGGATCCTCTCTATGCCCAGATAGGCTCCGCCCCCGACCTGCCAGGTGACACACAGCTGCAGGGGGGTCACGGCAGCCCCCGGCCAGGTGAGTAACGTCGCTTCCTGTTTATCCTGACCCAGGTGTGCTCTTACCTTATTGGTTGGGTCAACAGATCAGACTGGTGCATCATGGGAAAGTTTTCCTCTCACTGATGAGAAGGAGGAGGAAGAGGAGCAGCTAAAGGACGAAGAGCAGGAGAGCCCCACCGCAAAGAGGAGGAGAGAGGAAGAGCTCCGAGCGCCGCCTTCCTTCATCACCACCGACAGCTCCTCCTCTTCCTCGCCTCGGCCCAGCCTTCCTCCTGACCTTCCTGTTTGTGCCAAGAATATTTCTCTGACTGCGAGTGGAGAGAAGGTCATCCTCTGGACCAGGTGAGGCTCCGCCCCCATTTGGCTCCGCCTCCTCATGTATTTTCTCAGTAATTCTTGTTTTTCTTCAGGGAAGCTGATCGTGTCATATTGACGATGTGTCAGCAGGAAGGAGCCAATCAGAATGCTTTTCAGGCCATCTCTAATCTGCTGGGAAACAAAACTCCCAGTGAGGTAATTGGTTGTTATTTTCATGCCACTCTCTGATTCGCCAGTCGATTTTCAGATTTTGATCCTTTGACCTCTTGTCAGGTTTCTCAGAGGTTTCAGGATTTGATGCGATTGTTTCGAACTGCAGCTCGTCACGCAACCACAGAGGAAGAAGCTCCGCCACTCAGCCAACAGCCAATGAAACTGCAGACTGACCAATCGGAGCCGTTCTTGAAGGATCAGTCTGAGCATCTGAGTATTTTAGAGAGGGGGGGGTTCTATGAAATTGATGTTTTTGTAACAATAAATAACCTTTTATAAAAGCCTGGCATGAATTTTTACACAACCAGTAATTATTTATTATGCATGAAATTACCTTAAAGGTGATTGTTGAGGTTGCAATGCATTGTGGGTAGCAGAAGATGGAAACGACGTTTAGGGACCGGAGCCATTCTGTTCCCTTGGTTCTTCAGGAAGCTGCTAATCTATACTTGACATCAGATTCTGGTTCAGATCAGCAGTTTGTGGGTATGGTTTGTTACAAAGTCAGTACACCCTCATATTTCTGCAGATATTCAATTATATTTTTTAATGGGACGACACTTAAATAAAGACACTTTGACAAAGTGAAAAGTCGTCTCTGTGCAGCTTAAATAACTAGATTTAATCTTCCCTCAAAATAAGTCACTATTTACAGCCATTAATGTCTAAACCACCAGCAAGAAAAGTGAGTACACCCCTAAGAGACGACACCCCTAAATCTCCAAACTGAGCACTGCTTATCATTTTCCCTCCAAAATGTCGTGACTCCTGAGTCTCAGAAGAGCTCAGCTCTGCTTCCAGAGCAGGTGTCAGTTTGCAGTGCAGCTCTCTGTCTCTCTCTCTCTCCTACTGGTCCCTGGAGGTCCAACATGGCACCTCATGGCAGACGAATTGTTGCGCCACATGAAGATGGCCGAGGCTGCAGGAGGATTAACACCCTGTAACTGTTGGTCATCCAAAGAAGCTGAGAACACATCCAGATGCTGTCTTTGAAAGAAAGATGTAGGAGTTTTGTCAGCATTGCTGCAGAGATTTAAGAGGTCAGAGGTCAGCCTTTCAGTGCTCAGACCACATGCCACACTAGATCAACTTGTTCTACATGGCTGACTCCCAGAAGGAAGCCTCTTCTAGCCTGGTGGTGGGAATACCATGGTCGGGCTGCAGGAATGCAGCAGGTGTTGTGTAGTTACATTTCATGAACTCAAATAAAGAAATGAAGAACCAGAGCCTGATCCCTCCCTCTGGAAACTGGATCACAGGGCAGCGTTCCAGCATATCCACCCCAAATACACCTTGAAGACGACCACTGCTCTATTGAAGAGGCTGCAGGTAAAGGTGAGTGACTCATTTCTGCAGACCGAAACCCATTAGAACATCTTTGGTACGTCCTCAAGAGGAAGATGGAGGAGCGCCCAGTTTTGAATATCTGCCAGCTCTGTGATGTCATCACAGAGTGGAAAAGCATTCAAGAGGCAACCAGTGAAGCTCCGGTGACTTGATGCATTTTGTTAACTGTGTTAAATTTGTTTTTAATCCAAGATAGTTGGATTAAAAACCCTTGACGTAGCTACCATTGATTCCCAATTCATTTCAATAATTGCTCACTCAAAGTATCTCAAAAATTATTTTATGGAATGTGCTGATACTCACACTGCTGCTGCTTACCTCACCCACACAAGACTGACAGTCACACAAGAAAGAAAGTGAATAATGTCCCTTTAAAGAGGGAACAGAATGAGGAGAAGAGTAAAAGCTGAACTTGCTCTACAATCTTTGCTTCACTTCTGGTCACCATAAGGTGAGCAAAGTGATGCCCAGTGCTGGATGGTGAGTGTTACTCTGTTTCTGTTCTATTTGTATGATTTGCATGGTTTTTGTAACATTTGATCATTTTCGGCATTGAAGCCTGTTTTATACTAAACCAAATCTCATCATTTCTCAAGCAAATGATGCTGATTGGTGCTGCTCAGGTCCTGAAACTGTTAAATGGACCTGGGTGGTGCATAGAAGGGAAAATCAGTGAACAACAATAAGTTCTCATTTTACCAAACATGATCCAAAAACTCCCTCCAATTTTCTGCAGGTCCCCACCTCATTTGGTGGTCCTATCCCACTCCTTTCATGTCGCTGCAATAGATTGTCATTCATTTTTCAATCTAGTCAAAGTCTGGCTGGAAATCTCCTATCAAGCTGGGACTTCACCATATCCTCAGTTTCTCTTCCCTCAATGTAACCAGATTTGAAAATATTTAATGTTGTTTGAGCTCCATTTTTAAATAAATCAGCTCAACTTTGAAAAGTCGTCTCTGAGTTTCTGTTGGATGAAGTTTAGCTTTGATGCTGCTCTGCTCACCAGGAATTTGCTTTAAGTCAATTTTCAAACTGATGTTCTGTGCTTTTACTTTTTAAACTCTCTTTTTGGACTGAACTCAGCTCAGTTTTAAAATGCCATCTCAGTCCCTCTGTTGGATGATGGAGTTTCATCTTAAAGCTGCTCTGAAGGCTTGAATTTGGTTTTAAAGTCTTATATTTTAACCATGTTTTATTTTGTTTTCCTTCAAACTGCGTTTTCAAGACAGAAATCACAGCTCAGCTTTGTTAAGAATTAAAAAGAGGAATAACTTGATTTAGCTCTTTAATTAATTCTTCTTTGTCCCGAATTCTTGTGTCTGTATAAATGTGCAGAGAGAAAAGAGCAATCATACGACGTCAGACTTCAGATATCCAGAGTTCTATCCAGAGAAAAATCAATGCAAGAAGAATGTTGCAATAAGCATCTCACCTAGATTATCAAAAGTCCAAGACATTACAAAACAGAAACAATTAACTGAGTAAAAAGGGAAACAGAAACAAACAAAAGATGCATCTTCTGGGAAACTCTCACTCAGCACAAAGAGATTCGGACTTCAGCTCTAAAACAAACCATTTTATAATAATGTGTATTCTCTTCATTTAAGTATATGCATTAGGAGGTGTGTTTTTCCTTTGTGTGGGCTGTCTCAATGTTAATTTTATTACCTCTCAGACCCACTGAAACACCCAGCTCTTCTCGTACCAGCCTCCTTTAGGCGATCTGATTTATAGCGTGGGTCTGGAACGTTATCTCTGCCTCAAAATGATTCAACAAGAAACCAGTTGGTATTTTTAAACAAACTTGCACAAATGTATTGCTTAATACTAACTATAAGTTGGATCTAAAACTAACTAATTAAAAACATACTTTTTAATGCTTAAAGAAATATACCAATATGTTTGATTATATGTTGTAACAGACTTCTATAGTTTTAGTGTTTGCCTGAACTATTCAACCCTGAGTAAAGAATTTATTGCCCTGATAGCCAATACACTCCCTGTCTGAAATGTTCCTTAGGGAGTATAAGACTGCTTTCTGATTAGAAATTTATGTAAGTTCAGAGAGTCACCAGTTGTCTTAGTTTGGATCTTGTTAAGAATTAAAAAGAGGAATAACTTGATTTAGCTCGTTAATTAATTATTTGTCCCGAATTCTTGTGTCTGTGTAAATGTGCAGAGAGAAAAGAGCAATCATACGACGTCAGACTTCAGATATTCAGAGTTTTATCCAGAGAAATTCAATCCAAGAAGAATGTTGCAATAAGCATCTCACCTAGATCATCAAAAGTCCAAGACATGACAAAACAGAGACAAAGAACTGAGTAAAAAAAGACAAAACAGAAGATGCATCCTCCGGGAAACTCTCACCCAGCACAAAGAGATTCCAACTTCTGCTGTGAAACAAACCATTTTTTATAGACTGCGTATTCTCCTCATTTAAATATATGCATTAGGAGGTGTGTTCTTTTCCTTTGTGTGGGCTGTCTCAATGTTAATTTTATTACCTCCTGCTAAAGAGCCCCAAAAGCAGATATACGGCAAACCCTTCTCGTATCAGCCGCTGTCCAGTTTGATATATGATTGCAGCTGCAGCGCTATCTGTGCCTCAAAATGTTTCCACAAGAAAGTAGTTTGTATTTTTAACCAAGCTTGCACAAAATGTAATGCTAAATAATGACTATAAGTTTGGATCTAATAAGTAACTAATTCAAAACATGCTTAAAGAAATATAGTTAATTCTAATATAGATAAAATTATTTATAAAAAGTTTTAAGATCCTAGTGAACTTTTGAACCATGCTCAGGAATTTGTTAATTGCCTGGCAGACAGACTCCCTGTCTAAAGAGATCCAAGGAGTATAAGCTTTCTGATTAGAAATTTCTGTAAGTTCTGAGAGTCACCAGCTGTCCCAGTTTGGATCTGTATCTAAGTTTATCTTAACCTAAAAGTTAACTTATGTACTATTGTGCTACTTTAAAATTCTTTCAACAGCTTCTAACTTCATCGCTGAGATCCTACTAGGGGGCAGAAATATTAACACTGTTTCTGAACATCAGAAATGGGCTTTAGAAGAACCCAGAATGCATTGCATGGTGGGGCTTCATATTTCAGCTTCTAGTTTGGCTGTTTTTGCTGCAATCCCTAAAAACCCATATAGTGTTGTGATTAGCATGAGCTCCTCTTTCAAACTAGATGTTTTAGAATGAGCTAAAACATTTAGGAAATCTGCACCATGAGTCACAATGAGGTGTTCAGAGTTGAACTCTTGCCTGCTAAGATGGATCCTACTGTGGCAGCTTTGGGTAAGTCTCTTCATTTTGTGAATGTGGTCAGGACCTTTTGCTGTTACTGAGCTTTCTAGGGGTCTTGCGGTGTATGATGGCACTAGAATGCTGCTCTTTCCTCTCATTTCAGGGGTGGCAGTTTGAATCCCAGTAAGTGTTTGGAGACCTTAAAGGCAGCAGCTTGCTGCAGCTGGTCCAGGTTCTTTTTCCCTGGGAGGATGATTGGGTAGCAACGCCTTGCTATCTACTGGTGTGCAGTTCACTCTGCACTGGGAAGCTAAGGTGAGTCAGTAAACTTGCAGGCTGCCAGGCTTCAACACAGACCAGTAGAGAATCAACGGAGAACTCTTCTGCTTCCTGGGCATGCTGGTTCCACCTTGCGGTGTTAACGGACAGTGTGTTTTTTAAACCAGGGGCGCGGTACGTATCAGCCTTCCCAGGTTCCGCCTATAGGAACAGCACGTGGGAAAGGTGACTCCAGGACTCGGGAGTCTTAAATGCAGTCCAGTCTTCTAGAGGAATAGCCTCACACACAGCAACATGCACTCCAGCTGGTATTCTCTATTCAGTCCTACAGCTTAGAAATGCAGAAGAATTTTAATTTCAGAAATCTTCAGCTTAAAGGCAACACTGTTAACTTCCTATGATCTGAGCTCTAGCATAACATCTAATATTATTGCAGGGTTAGTTCCAAATCAGCTGAAATAAAAATCTTTTGACATGATGTAGTGGGTGAGAAAAATTTACATATCAAGAGATTCTTTTTAAATGTCAGACAAGTTTCACAATTCATTAATGAAATCCAAAACTCTTTAGTTTCTGTTCAAATTAGGACTATTTCTGAACTACAAAACGATACACAGTATAGCTGTAACTCTTTCAGCAATGTGGCCTACT